GCAGCCTCTAAGGCAACCTGTTTTAATCCAATAATGCACAAGGCCACCAACAGTAACAAGTGAGTTACTTGGTGGCCAGATTTGAACTGGGAACTTTGAATCATCACAGTTTAGAAGTCTTAGCAATCATGTTACACCAGCTTTTGCTGCCTTGCAACACATTCAGAGCACAAACCTTCAACTGCATTTCTATGCAAGCCATTCATCTAATGGGGGAGGAGAAGACGGAAACTAGACAGAGGCATGTAACTTCAGGAATGTGGCCAACCCAACCACAGTAGCCTGGCACTAAGGGTAAATTTGTAAGCATTTGTTTTGGGTCCGTTCAAGAACCAGAAAATAGTTGTGAGGCTGCACAGCTTTTTGGCTTTCCTGAAAATCTCAAACTGCAACCAACGGGACAAAGAAAAACGAAAGACCAATTCAGTTGATTTACATTTGACTAAAATTTGTAGTTTACTGTAAAATTAATGTTGCTGTTCAGGAGACAGTAATGTGCGCTTCTGCTTGAAGATATTTAAGTGTAATCTGATGTAAATGATTATTTACACAACACTGTGTGGTTCTAAATATGAAGCCTAACAACTTTATAAAAGATAAATTTGGGCACCTGGAACCCTCAAACACCACAATCATGCTGTCTGGAAGACTGTGGGGATTATAATCCACAAAGTAATTTTGCCAACCTCTGTAACACCAATACACACACACAGTTTCCCAAAGTGAGCTGTCAAGAACAAAGCAATACACTATTCATCTCTGAATTCTTTGAGGATGCAGCATACAGCTTGTTAAAAACTAACGTGCATTAAATAACCCTCAGATAATCACTTTACCCCTTTTAGTGTGCTTGCATGCCATCTGTAAATCTCACTCTGCTTTGCTGCAATCCAGATGTTTTGCTGTTGAGACACCTTGCTGCTTGTTTAGAGCATTTATACCCTGCCCTTCAGTCAAAAAGGGCTCCCAGAGGGGTTTACAGATTCTTAATTTGACAGTCCCCTGCACTCAGGTTTACAGTCTAAGATGCAAAGCACAAGGAAAGGGACATGGCAGCAGGAGAAGGAACTACCTTACATGTAGCAAATGTTGGCTACTGTTTGCTAACTCAAGAGGCCAGGGCAATGGCAGCTGGTATGGATGGAGGACCTTTCCTCAGCTACTAGGGAAGTTTTGTGCAGAGAATGATGATCAAGAGTGGTAAAAGGAGAGGTCTGATCTTGAGATGGGAAGGTCTCAGGAACCCTCCCAACCACAAAGGTGATGCAAATTTAAGGCTGAGCAAATAGAAAAGAAAACTAGATACAACCAGGGCTGTGCAGGTGGAATTGTGGCGTCAGAGTTACGGAATCAGTCAGAAGCAATTTGAGATGGAGTTAAGAGTTGATAGAAATGTGCCCCCTCTGACTCCAACTTCAAAATAAACATGTATAGCAGCGTAACAATATATGTATTATGTTCTGTTAGTCTGAATTTTATATATTCTTTAATTTTAAAATATATGCTATGTTTCTGTAATTTTTTTAAAATGTATAAAATGATAATGGTGACATTTTAAAAAGGAGAAGAGAAGGTTAAGAGGTGATATGACAGCCCTGTTTAAATATTTGAAGGGTTATCCTACAGGAGATGGGGCAAATTTGTTTTCTGATGCTCCAGAAACTAGAACACAGAGCAATAGATAAAAATTACAGGAAAAGAGATTCTACCACAACATTAAGAAGAACTTCCCAACAGTGGAACACACTCCATTGGAGTGCAATAGTCTCTCCTTCTTTTGAGGTTTTTAAAGAGAGGCTAAAGAGAGGCCATCTGTCGGTAGTGTTTTGACTGTGTATTCCTGCATGGCAGGGGGTTGGATGTGATGGCCTCTGAGGTTTCTTCCAACTCTATGATTCTATAATTCTATGAAATACACACTTTGTTGCACCTTTACTTAGGTAAGAATTTAGGAGAGTTTTCTTGTTTACATTTCTTCATCAAATAAATATATTTTATGTTCCTTATGCTACAATAAATTTGTTTGTACTAATTAACATATATTTGTCACTAGGCAGCAGAAAAATACAGGAGCCAGAGCTGAAGGTTTGGCATATCGACTCCACTCCCCTGGATACAACATTTCCATGAAACAATCCACGTCACAAAAGTTACGAATGGCCACTACAGAGTGCCCCTGCCTTAGAAACAGCTAAAATGTGGCATGGATGCTAGGGGTTAATCTGCTCATCACCACAATGGCTGCATCCACACTGTAGAAATAATCCAGTTTCAGGTGTCAAACCGGATTATTTCTGCAGTGTTACTGGACTCAAGGTTGCCGAATATTCTCGCTCACTATGGCTGGTGTGGGGAGAAGAGGCAGATTTTCATGAAGACGACTGCACCCCATTAATGAGTCTGAAGAAGTAGATGGAAATCCATGGAACATGCTAAAAAGGTGTTGTTAACCCCCCCCCCCTGCATTTCCATTGTCTTTCTGAAAATCTTGTGTTAGTCACTCTCATGGAATCAACATCACTCTTAGTTCAGCCCAATATCATTGGCCAGAAAAGTAGGCTTTGTCCTCAACCATGAGCAAATTCAGACATGTGGCTCCTTCAGATCAGGGCTGGCGAGCCAACTTCCTCTTCTGAACAAGCCACTTAGATCAGCTCTCTTAGATTCCAGTTCACATGATTTTGTTCTGAATTAGCAAGATTGCGGACAACAGATAACAGCAGCAGTACAGGAGAGAGAAGGCTACTTTTAGCACTCGCTGCATTTCCTTTGCCTATTTGCAGAAAAGCATTACACAAATCAGGCTATTTCGTTCACAACACACATACATCCGCTCATGTTTCTCCAGTGTAACTGGAATACAACATCTAAATCTGTCGTCCTGAATATAACTCATCAAAAGCTACCAGCCCTTTCTCCCCTATCTAAAGAGAAATAGACATGTGCATTTTTAATTAAGCAAAAGGAAAAAGTCTTGTGGAACTCTTCCTGAAAGGACTGTGTGCACTAGAACTTGGAAAAATTACTTTTGGGGCTATGCTTCGTGAGGATCCAAAGAAGTAACTTTCCTACAGGCCCACTCACACTACACAGTTATAGAGCTACATTCCATTTTAATTGCAATAACAACATCCCATGGAATCCTGGGATTTGCAGTCTAGAGAGGGGTATTTCAAATCCTTAGCCAGAGAATTCCAGTGCCCCACCAAACTACAAACCCCAGGACTGCATGGGATGTGGTCATGGCAATTAAAGTAGAATCATAGTGCTATAACTGTGTGAATGGGCCCCACAGTCAGTAATATATATTGACATATATTTTACTCCCCTAGCTGATCTTCAACACAGACCAAGATTATGAGGAAGCTCCAAGCGGGGAAATTTCTTTTTTGGACTAATAATAATAATAATAATAATTTATTTATAGCCTGCCTTTAGCCTTAGCCATCAAGGCAGCTTACATATAAAAATCAAATACATAAAACCCCTACAACAATATAAACAAGACAATTTACCCCCCCCCCATTAAAAATACATTACAGCTCCATAACACCCAATAGCCATTCTGCAGCCCAGAGTCATGTTAACTTTCAAAGTACAGTTTAAAGACTCTCTGTATACACCAATTCTTATACATGGAATCAACCATCCACAACTTGAAAATATTCAAAATAATTATAAATCCTGAGAAGAAAACCTTGATTTTGCCATTTTATATAAGGGTCACCATTTTACAGTGCTGTTCTATTTAATTGGATTTGAGCATCCAGAGATTCTGGTATCCATGAGAAGTCCTGGAACCAAACCCCAGCAGGTACCAAGGGCCCACTGTAGTATTGTCTCCTAGCTCTGGACAATACAATGTGCCATGAGTAACCTGTATCAGTCCAAAAGGTTTCTAAAGAGCACAGCAGGATGATGGTCTCATGTGTACAGTAGGCATAGTGGGCCAGACTATTAAGAAATATGAAGACCTGGGAAGAAAAAACCCAGAGGAAAAACACTCCCCACACATATAACACATATTGAAAAACTGATTTTTTTTTAAAAAAGTATCCAGTTTATTTTCTTTTAGAATGATGAATAAAATGTTTAAGATATGGTATTCATATATTTAACCCCTGCCCCAATATTAGTTCTAAAAACTATGTTAACAGGAAGATTTTTTTAATGGCCCTTTTATGGCCCCTTCCAACTCAATGAATCTACGAATAAATCTGTGAATGATGTTAAGTGTCAGTTTATTCCAATTCCTGGTCTTGGTTTCATTTTCTCTGTTTTCAGGGGAATCAGTGACACTGTGGAGATCTAGAAAGAGCCAGCATGGTGTGGTGATTTTAATGTTAGACTATGACTCTGGCGACCAGGGTTCAAATCCCTGATGGCCATGGAAATCTACTGGGTGACTTTAGGCAAGTCACATTCTCTCAACATCAGAGGAAGGCTATGGTAAACCTGCTCTGAATAAATCTTGTTACGGAAACCCTGTGGTACAGTTGCCATAATTTGGAAATGAAGGCACATAACAACAAAGGAGAATAGATAAGATGTGAAAAATAATCTACGGTACATCTATTTTAGAATGGAGGCTTGAGTTAAAGAAGGAAGAGAAAGACTTAAACAGAAATGGTAAACAAGGGAAGGGGCACTACAAGCATGCCTGCTTAACATAAAATCATTTTGAAACTTCCAATTACAATAGGCATTTTTCCAATTTCATCTTTGATGTTCTTAATTGTAGCTTTTATTGCAGTTAGACTGCTGTTCCATGATTCAGTTTTGAGAACCACTCCATCTTGAGTCTCCTTCAGCACAGAAAGGAGGAAGAACAGCGACAGCCCTGAGGACATCATACAGCTGAAGAAATCCTGAGAACAGAAATTCAAGTCCGAGAGCTTTAAGCATTTAGGTGTACTCCAGAATTCTAGAATGGAGCTATACAAAATGAGGGCCAGATCAGTCTGTGAAAGCCCTTGGGCAAGGAAAGAGCTTGGCAAACACTTTTACCCCAGAAACCACAAACAGAACCACTGGCTGGTTGCCACAAATACATGTACTCTCAAAAATCAGCTTGAAGAACAACACCTGAAAAGTCTAGCTTTTGGACTAAAAGCACTGGTCAGTAAGGAAGATTCTATAGCATACAAGATGCATCTCTTCCATTTGAAGTGTTTTTGTTTTGTTCATTTTTAAAAACGCTTTATCCTGTGTTTCCACTAAATTAGCCATCAAGGCAACTAACATTAAAAATACAAATAATACAAGACTATAGAGAACACATTAAAAATCAGTTAAAACACAGAAAGAAAGACTGAACAGAGCAGCATCCTTTGTATTCAAGTTAAAGCTTATTTTTTGGATTATGGCTCCCAGAAACCCTAGCCTGCATGTCCACTGGGATTCTGGAATTGGCCAACATGGCTGAGGGTTCTGGGAGCTGAAGTCCCTCGGTCCTTAAAGGGGAAAGGTTGCCTACCCCTGCTTTAGGATCTTAAGATATCAGCAGGCTTATATGGGGAAATGCAGCGTTCTGAATATAGTAGCTTGGATCCAGGACAAATACAGGGCTTTATTAGGTCATAAATAACATGACAACTGTTTTGCAGTGACTGAGCTTGGGGCCATCTAGATTCTTGCTAAACTAGGAAACTTTAAGGGGAGACTGAACACTACCCTTAATCCCTGGGAGCAGAGAAAGCAAACCAGGCAGCCAACACAAAGAAATACAAAAGTAACTTAAGATAACAGAGAACATGCCAGCAGGGGATAAAAAACACTGGAATGTCAGTTTGTAATGATGTTTTCTTTGCACTGCTTGCATTATGCTATTTCATTTGTTGTAAAGTACAGGGACGTGATTGCAAAATCCCATTAATTTCAATGGAAACATTGCTTAACCCTAATATTTACCCCACCAAAGCCATTCTTACTAGTACATGCACCACTGTCTGCTATCAGGAAGGAGAATGCTAGTATCCAAACCTAGAAATAGATCATTTGCTGCTTTATGGAGGTTAAGCTGTTCTTAAAGGCACAAGAATAGGCAAGCTGTGACTTTCTAAAAGTAGCCAATTCAAGCTTCATAACTAAGGGTGTGAATGTGTGTGGTGGGAACCAGTGGTCCTTGAGAGGTTGCTGTGCTCCCCAGCAGTGCCAACCAGTATGAGCAATAGTCAAGGGTTTGTGGAAACTGTTTATCACCTGGAGGGGCACAGGCTCCCATCCCATAATCAACATTTCAGTAAAATCAGGAAATGTGTAACTATCCAATAATGTGGTTTGTAATAGCCCATAAAGAAAAGATTGCTCACTACTGGATAGGGGAAACAAAAGGCACTCATAACTGAAGTAGGTACTTATTCTGTACTGAGAATACTTGATGATTCATGTGCCAGGTATGAGGCAGCCTGGTGCAATTTAGTAGCTGTTCTTTGTGTACAAGACTGCCTCTTCACAGAATTTGTGTGTGGTACTCTGAAAATTATTGCAGGAAAGTGACTTAACAGGTTTCCTCCTATTATCAGCTGGTACCATGCAGGTGGTTTCTATGCTGCTATTCATTTGGGTTCAGTGTGAAAAACTCAAAGTACAAAATGTTACAGCAGTCATTCAGTTAAACACTCATCACACTTAAAGCTTGGCAAGTGTCCTACAAGAAAAAAACAGTATGCATGGAGCACCTATCCCACGCTTACATTAAGAAGCTAAAAGTTGGAAAAACTTACCGAAAAAGCTAAAGTGGTCCTTTGAAGGAGGACTGGGGCACTGATTAACTAACTGAGCAAATATTTAATAAAGTTAAGAACATCTTTGTGTTAAGTACTTTTTAATTAGGCTGAACAGGGGATAGCATAAAACCAGGTGGTCCTACCCTATTCTCAACCTATTCTGCCAACAATTTGAACTGACCTGTACAACAATGGCAGAGTTTGGAAAAGTTTGTTGTTGTTGTTAGTATTATTTTGGATTGCAACTCCCAGACTCTTCAGCAGCAGGGCTTCTTTTGACAAGGGAACTTAACACTGCATAATGAAGCACCCCTATTAGCACATACATCTACATATACAAGTGTGCACACAAAGGTTTCTGTTTAGATCAGGGGTAGGCAACCTTTTTGAGCCGGGGGCCGGTCCCCCGAAGTCGTCCCTTCCGGCGGGCCAAGGGGGGGGGGGGGGAAATGGTGGTGCGCGCATGCAACCCCCGCCGCCGCGTGCCGCCACTGTGCCCACTCTGCTGCAGCCGCCACCGTGCACACCGCCGCCGTGCCCACCGTGCCCACTCTGCTGCAGCTGCCTCCACGCATGTCATGGTTGACATTTTGTTCTCCAAAATGGCAGCCGCAACAAGTTTGCACATGCGCAGGAGTACTGCGCATGTGCAAATGAGTCGCAACCCCCATTTTGTTTTCCAAAACGCACACCGGCGGTGGCGCACGGCGGCGGCAGGGGTCCGCCTGGGCCGGTAAGTGCGGGGCCCGTGGGCCGGAACCAGCCTGCAGGCCGTAGGTTGCCGGCCCCTGGTTTAGATATTCTACTGAATATCTAGAGTAGCCCTGTCCAGCACCCTCCAGGCATACTGTACCACAAATGCCATTATCCACAGCCAGCATGACCATTGGACATGTGAGCTGGGATCATGGTCGGACACAACATGACAACCTTGTCAATGGGGAATACCTTTACCTTTTAATATATACATATATACCTGAAGACCATCAGGTTGGGAAAGGCTGTTCAAAAGGCTGGAGGTAGATTCTCTATATGTTCAACTGACACAGAATTAAAGGGTGAGGGTACTAGTTGCTAGCTTTGTTCAGAGATGAGAAGGCTTTTCAAGACAAGGGGTCAGAGTGATACATCTCATTCTGGACAAGGCGCTGCTTGCCTTGTAACTCTCCTCCAAGACTAAGTATTGTGCCTGAGCTTCTCCTACTCATCATGTGCTCTAATTTCAGAACAGGAGCAAAAGGTTGAGCAGGAAGCCCACACACATGCAAATGCTGGGGCAGACCAGGCCATAATTATGGGACTCCCACAGTCCATTGCCTATGATGTGACACCCACCAATTCCACTGCCTTTGTCATGGAGAGGAGGAGCCTTCATAATAGCCTCTTGAACCACCTTGAGTGCTGGTTTTTGGGAAAGGTAGGGGTATGAATAAAGTTAATGCCTGGAATCCTGTATCTCTCTCTATACCAATTATACCCAATTCTAATTCCCACATACGCAAGTGCACTTACAGAGAATTAAGTCCCATATGGAATTCTGGCCATTAACATTAGTAACGACACAGTCTAAAGCAGGGGTAGGCAACCTTTTTGAGCCGGGGACCGGGTTGCTGTCCCTCAGACAATTGGGGGGGGCCGAAGCACCAAAAATAAATAAATAAATAAATTTTTTAAAAAAATTTAAATTATTTTTTTTTAAAAAAAAATGCATGCACACTCTCTCAGCCCCAGAAAAGCCATGGCAAAACCCCTGTGGAGATTTTGCCAAGAAAATCCCAAGAACAAGTAATAACAACAATAATCAATATCATCATGGTGGGTGGCGGCAGCAGCAGGTGGTGGCAGCGGTGGCAGGACCAGCCTGGGGCCGGTCCAAATGCCTCAGGGGCCGCATCCGGCCCCCCAGGGCCTTAGGTTGCCTACCCTTGGTCTAAAGCATCTGGGAACAAGATGACACTAGAATCTACCACTACTCTGAAATATTAATGCTTTAAAATTAACCAAAACATTAGCCTTGCTTCCATGTGCATAATAAAATTCCCATGTAGGAAAAAATCTAGTAACACCACACCCAGAGCACCATACGATTGCAGTGACTTTTATCTTTACCTCCATAGTCCAGTTCCAATTTTTTTCAGTCCATCGGCTCTTCCACCACCACCACAATCAGGCATCACAATTTCACTCACCTTACCAGGGCAAGTGCCCTTGTCCTCTAGCAAGAATTCCCCTGCTGATTCTTCCCCTATCCAAGCACCTGGGCAAAGGAAGTTAGAATCTGTCTGCCTTCAGAGGTCAAGACAAGTCAGATTTTAAAGGAATTCTGCCTTGTCTAGGATGACACAATGCTGATATGTACTGTCTGATGATTCCTACTTGCAACAGGCCTGGCTAATGGTTTATTTATTGTGGCACATAAACATAACAGAAGTCTCCCTTAATAAATCAGAAAATAATCCACAGTTTGTTTTAAGGTTAATTCTCTGGCTTGTTGGGAGGAAATTAAGTGGAAGAGCTAGCTTCCTGTTGGATTCACATGCCAAAATGAACAAGACACTTTGATTCTTGGTTTGTTTTGATGCTTCATCTGAATGAGAAGCATGGCCAACAGACTATTCACCAACAGTAAGGCAGGGTTCACGTGGCTCCTTGGTTTACC